TTCCGAATTCGCAGCGCATCCGGTAAGCCCATTTATTCCGGCACACCTCGCATGATCGGAAAGATTAGTCCGCGGTGTAGACACAAGCCTTACATCTGCAGAAGTGCTCGATTTGTTTTCGGTGGCGGGTGTAATTTCAGTGTACAGGTGCACCCGTACAATTGACAACATAAAATCCCCAACGGAATCGGTGATAGTGACCTTTTTAGGAACAGTCCAACCTTCCGAAATTAAGGCATGGCCACTGATCTATAAGGTAGAGCCACTTTCCCCCAAACCCCTGCTGTGTTTGAAATGTTGGCGTTATGGACATAGCGTCAGAGGGTGCCGATCAGTTCTTAGATGCCGTCAGTGTGGTGAAAATTATGACAGCCGCAAGTGCATCTCTGAAAAAGAGAGGTGCTGCTTATGTAATGGCGCGCACCCTGCAGACTCCGCAGACTGTGCAGCAAAAGAAAGGGAGCTTGCCATATTGGATATTGTAGAACGCAAGAGGTGCTCTCGGAGAGAAGCCGTTGCAGAAATGCAGGAGAAATCCAAAGGATATGCCAGTGTTGCAGCACGTAATACCACCGCCATGGATGCATCTCTCGCAACATCTATCGCAGAGGCCGTAGAGAAAGCTATAGAAAAGGCAATGGAACGCCTCGCAAACAACCTTTTTGAAAGCTTGGCACAATTGGTTTCCAATCAACTATCTAAAATTCTAGGTGTAGCATCTACGAACGATTGGGCTCCTCAGACATCATTGGTATCGCAGCGTACGGAAATAGAAAGGGCGACAACACGTCAGCGAGCGGCTTCTCCTGAGGCAGGGACTTCCAAAACAACGGAAGACGATGATCTTACGGATGATTCGGAAGCATGTGCAGATATGGATATGGACTCTCATAAGGCTCTGAAGCGAACCCAATCTCCCCAATCAAAAAACTCTTCGCATAATTCGAAATCTAAAAATATCTATCCAAAAAAAGAATTCTTTGAGAACATGTCTAAGAAAGACTTTTTGCGAAAGGACATTTTGGACGAAGCAGTTTCTGCGACGGTTCTGTCGTCAAAATAGGTTCACTAACCATACTACAGTGGAATTGCAGATCTATATTTTCCGCAGCCACAGACCTATCATACCTTTCTTCACAACATTCCCCGGATATTATATCACTGCAAGAAACCTGGCTTTTAACCAGCCAGAAGTTTTACCTAAAAAATTATCGGCTATTTCGATTGGACCGACCTAGCAGAGGTGTCGGGCTTGCTGTCTTGATAGCAACTAAGTTTAGTCACAAAGCTACGATCTCTTATCGTTGTGTGACTCCAGATTGTGAAATTTTGATAGTAGACATAATATTACCAGACGCTTCTCCCTTGTCGTTTGAAATTCGTATCTCCCAGCCGGGGTGCAAGAGACACGAAGTCTAGACGATATGTTCTCTGCCTGCAGAAAGGATATATTTATCACTGGAGACTTCAATTCACATCATGTGGCCTGGGGTTTTAAAACAGATTTAAGCGGAAAACGCTTGTGGGAATGGGCTATTGACAAGAATTTATCTTGTTTAAATTCGCAATCTGCTACTTTTGTCTGAGGTCTCTCTAAATCTGTAATTGACTTGACATTTTCAAGCTCATCTCTAAATATATGTTCGTGGCAAACTTTAGACTGTGCTACTAACAGTGACCACTTGCCTATTAGTTTTTCACTGAACTTTTCAAGAATACACGTCGCCGAAAAGGCCCGCTCATTCCTCAACTATAGAAAATTAGAAAAAGACTTGAGGGCTATTTTTGATCACCACAAGGACATACAAGGTGATATTAGGGCTATGAGTCTGTGTGCAGTGTTAAAAATATCAGTAAAAGACGCAATGTTTAAATTAGACTCGGCCACAAGAGGTTCTTTTAGTCCATGGTGGACTGACGAGTGCATGAGCAGCTATAGAAAACGGAAAGCTGCATGGAAACAACTGCTGGTCAACCAATGTCCAAAAAATTGGTGTGATTATAAATTCGCAGCAGCAGACTTCAAACGCACAGTAAGTACAGCAAAAGAGGGTTATAATATGAAACGACATGAGTATCTTTCTAGGGCTAAAAACAAAAAAGCGCTCTTCAGATTTTTAAGATCTCAAAAGATGTTACCACCCGCTGAAAATATTGACTCTTTTGTTCTTTCCCCCCGTGAGCTCTCTGATTTAGTAGAAAATATTGCGAAAGGGCTCCAAGATAGATTTATGTCAACTATACCACTGCACATTGTGAACCCAATGGCAGGCGAGGATTTCGAGGAGGTTACTTTAGATGAGCTGGCAGAGATAATAAGGCACTTATCTCCTTCGGCACCTGGACCAGACGGGGTAACAAATGCAATGATAAAAGTAATATTCGAGATTTGTCCAACTGAAGTACTTAATCTGGTGAATTTTTCTTTGACAAAAGCTTGGATACCTGCGGAATGGAAGCTGTCTAAAGTGATTCCACTTCTTAAAAAGCAGGAAAAAAGATTCGCCTTGGACAATGTAAGGCCGATATCACTCACGTCAAATCTGGTTAAGCTAACTGAAAGAGTTTTGAATGCCCGGGTAATGAAATATATTAATAATAACGCAATATTAAACCCCAATCAAATTGGTTTTAGATCCGGTTCCTCAATATGGTGTGCGCATGTTGATTTAGAGAGCCGAATACAACTGGCTTGGCGTCGGCGTCAATACTGTGCTTCGGTTACTCTAGATTTGGCTAAAGCGTACGATAGGGTTGAGCTTTCAATTTTATTAAAACAGATGGAATATCACCACTTTCCCAACTACATCATTGCGTGGGTGTCGGAGGTTTTAAGAGGGAGAGAATATTACTGCTTTAAAGATGGGTACTCATCGAATAGATATAAGCAGAAACGTGGCGTACCACAGGGGGCTGTCCTGTCGCCAGTTTTATTTAACATTTTCTTAAGCTCCATTCTATCAACTAAGGATATTCAGTTATATGTGTACGCGGACGATATTGCTTTCTTTGCAAGTAATACCAACCTTCAATCATTATACCAGAGTCTACAAAATTATCTCAATATGATAGAAAGATGGCTTAAAAATATTCATATGACCCTGAACGTAAAGAAAAAGTGTGCTTCTTGCATTCTCTTTTCTGCAGCCTATCAACATCTCGTTAATGTACAGTAATGAGCTCATTCCGCAGGCGAATTCCCTTAAATATTTGGGCATCATATATAATGACACATTAAATTGGAGAAGTCACATTGATGATGTGTACTCCAAGGCAACACGGGCCATGGGGTGGCTACGGAAGCTTGCAAACCGTGAAGCGGGTTTAAGAAGAGATGTGCTGATAATGATATATAAACTTTATGTGCAGCCCATCATGGAATTCGGATGTGTACTATTTTCTGGCAGCGCAGCTTATAAAATGAGACCCCTAATACTGCTGGAAAGAGAAGCGTTGCGTTTGTGTCTGGGTCTACCAAAATTTGTTGCAAATAACTTGTTGTATAAGGAAGCTCGCCTACCTTCTCTGCTAAATAGGTTTAAAATTCTTACTGTGCAAGCATTCCTAAAGATATACAGTTCACACCAAATACTCTCATTTTACGCTTTTAGTCAAGAACCGACTTTAATTTTCGAAACCCATTGGTCGCGACTACACACCCCGCAAATAGTATTTGCACAAGCGCTACTAAAGCAACTGAATGTAAAAATTGGACATCTTGGTCCAATACACAACCTAAAGTCAATGCTTAGCATACAATTCGATGATATATTTCCTCATAACGCGAAACAATTGGCATATAGGTATTTAAATGACCAGTTAGCAGATTATCTAGCTCACCTAGAGATAAGCAATATCATAGCGACTGATGCATCTGTGTCAAAAGAAAAGGCTGGGGTTGGCATCTTCTCTCCTTCTTTGGACTGGTCCTTTTCAATTCGGCTCCCAGATTATACCCCGGTATTCATTGCAGAATTATTGGCCATTGTTCTTGCCCTACGCGAATTACCCTGAAGCGAATCATTAGCAGTTACCATTACAGATTCGTTATCAGTTTGTAATGCACTTTCTGCGGCAGTAATTTCAGAGCTGATGAATACGTTTCGGCATTCAGTACCAAAAAACATAAAAAAACTGCATTTGCTATGGGTACCAGGCCACCGCGGATTATATTTGAACGAAATGGCGGGCTCTTTAGCAGCAGTATCCCTGGGTGGGCCCACCATCCCAGTTTTGCCAGATACGGCTTACGTAACCTCGCTAAGGATCTGAAATGCTTGCCTGCAATGGGGAAAAGGTAATTTGGATAAATTCAAAGATTTCGAGCATTTGAGCTATTGCTGGAATAAACAGTGGTGTGTATCTCGCCAGTTAGAGGTCACTTTTACCAGATTGTGCTGTGCAGTACCACAACTAAATGATAAACTAAAAGGTCGGCTCAAGACGTCACCGCTATGCATTTGGTGCAACGAAATTGAAACAATTGGACATTTCTTTTTATTCTGTCATCGTTATTCTTATCAGAGAAAAAGATTTTTAGTAGCCCCATTACAAAAGCTAGGAATACAAGTAAATCTACCAGTAATTTTATCATTTGGCGGAACTTCATTTGGTTACTGCCACAGGGATGTATGCTCCGCCGTGTTCGATTACATCAACGCAACTAAAAGATTAACATGCTAGTGAACCCCTACCTTTTCAGATCTTTAGTTTATACTTCGTAGTTATGTCTTTCAAAAACAAAAGATGGTTTGACCGCTTGCTCAGCAAACATTTTTGTTTTTTGGTAGTATTATTTTAAGCTACTTTTTCAGATTGGCTTCATTTTCATTTTAGTTTCATTTAAGTATCCTGCCGCCCAGTTCTTGGCCCATCCCCCTTTGTGGGTAAGCGCCATCCATCAGAGGTCATCAGCATCAGCATCAGCATCAGCACGAGGCATCATATGAGCCCTTTAATTGCCTTGATAACGCCACGGGACAAACAGTGGGTGCACTGACCGACTGGACGTCCGGGGCTTCCGATAGTCGGAGGGCTGCGCAGTGCTGACCAGCTGTGATGAAGGCACCCACTGCTGGTGCGAGCCAAGTTCCCGCACCAGTTGCTGCTGCTGCAGCCGACCGTTGCGGCGACGCTCCAGCGTTTGCCGCCCCGTGTCACAAACCTCTGCGTTCCCGAGAAGAGAACAGGCAACTTTTACAAATTATGTATACTCACACGATCCCCAATAATAAGTGCAAACGAAAAAGCTTGCGCCGGGTAGTGAAGCAGCGTGTTTTGTTAATGCTATGTATGATTGTTTTAACGCGAAAGCTTATGGTGCCCCATGAAACATAGAAAGTCACCGGGGTCCTACGTCGTAGGCGTCATTACCCGTAATAAAACAAATCATCACGTGAAGACGTCATTTTATGACATCAGCCCGACGTCACAGATTGACAAAATTAAAATCGTCGTCATGATGTCACATCACGTGGCGTCATAAGACAACGTCATCACATGCCATCATCGCTTAGTAAAAAGTGGGCGCATTCCGTGGGTAGTTTATAACCCACTGATTCAGAATGCAGTGCAACACCCCGTCAGTTGCGAAAAGCTTTTGGTAAGTGGTGGGGAAGGATACATACATAGACTGAGAAGAAAAAGAAAATGACGTTTCCCCTCGAGTCGCCTTGATGAGTGAGTGCATAAGAAACCTTGTAATTTTTATTTCGTAAACCTGACAAGAACACTAAAATTTGACTGACGCTACAAGTATGCTTTCTGTTTGTCGAGATATTGTCTTGTGCTAATAGAGCAAAAATCAGAATTATCAAACTCAGCCAAGCAAGTATATAAAAAGTAAATGGGAGAAACAAACGTGCGCTGAATAACAACTTTTTTCCTTTGTACTCAACACAAATGAGAAAATTTGAAGAAAAAACTTTGTTATTCGAACACGTCAGTTGCTAAGGATTGGTCGGTTCCTGGGTGCTCATTTGAAGGTTTCTGGCTATTTTTTTGTTGCTCGTTTTATCAGCTTCACCCAAATGAGGCAGCATGTTGTACTATACTTACGATGTCGCTGCGGTAATCAGGCTTTTACACTTACATTCAATTACAATGATTCCTTGCATCGGAATCAACCTAGAATTTCGGAATCAACCTACATCGGAGTCATCCTACAATCAATCTACAACCTACTCGTATCGTAGCGTTGCATCCCGCTTTCTTCTCGTGTATAGGCAAAAATGTTTTTATAAGCCTAGTTCTGAGTAAACATGTGATGTTGTTAAATGCACGACGGTTCAAATGGCAGTACATGTCTCTACAGCACGTTGCTCAAAAAAGGTGCCACTGGTCAATATTTGTATCCGCCCTATATATAATATTTGTATCAGCTGTTTCCATTTTAACTATGACCCCAATGAAAAAGCCCGTAGAGTTTTGTCAGACGACCTATGTGCCTGTTTTTCCTGTTTTTGTCAAGTGAGAGGCCCAGAAAGAAACAGAAAGATCTTTCGTGTAGTAACAATTGTGCTTCGTGAATTTGCTCATATATGCGCCAACTGTTGCTGCACTATAAAGTTTCTTAATTAGTAGTGTGCTTTATAATATGTATAGGGGTTTTTATAATATATTGGGTTAATCTAGGTATCTAGGAAAATAGGTATCTCGCGAATAATGTAAACACAGACCTGAAAGAACCCATGCACGCGGGTTATGGAAGAAACTGGACCTCGGTGTAAGCTATGGTCAGTTTGTAATAAAATATTCAAACCAACTTTTTTTAAATTTTTTAAGCAGTACAAGCGGGCAGGATTACAAAGCCCGGTGGTTTGAGGCACAACCAGCTGGAAGTGTGAAGTGCTGTCTTATTTGCTGACGAAGTCAAATCAATGGTGACGTGTAAAATAGACTGGGCATGACGGAAACAGCCGACAGGTCGTCCACGAAGCAAAAGCTTACCTAACTCTCTGTGATCACCTGGTGCATGCTCAAAAAGTAACTTGGAATAACCCTGGAATTTATACCTCCAATGACTGGCAGAACATAAGGCGTTTTTTATTTTTGGTAGCCTTTATCGCTAGTCTAGTCAACTGGTTATTCATGGTCTAAAAAATAGATCAACAGAAACTTTTTATGTGTATTCTGTGCTAACCAATAAAACTTACTGATATATAAGTACCCAATCACTAGTATCTCTATTTCACGATAACAACACTACGTTACCGTGAAGACATTCGCTAATATACATGATTATGTTGGCATACATGTACACAAAAATTCAATGTGATATCACGTCCAAGGAGGATATAAACGATACAATAGATCCAAATGAAACACAATTTGTAAAATGAAATCATATATAACAACTCAACGGCGGCTTAGCACAAGTGGTCGAAAAATGAGTGTATACTTTCGTGTTCCATCTTGACGAAAGGGCACGACCATGCCGCAGAAACTCTTGCTCCCCGAGGAAGAAAAGCTCTTCGGAGAGGAACGCGGAGGATCTCGTCTCATTCTCTCCAGTATCGGCCACAAGGCACGCCGGCGGCAATTGGCAGTACGGCCTACATCGGTTTCTCCAAAGGCTGACCAGCCCGCAACTATTAAGAGAGCGGGAAAGCGGCTACGCGGAAATCGGCCGTTGGACACGAAAGTTCGCACACCCTTCTCCCGAAAACCAGCATTAACCGCACGCCAAAAAAGGCGGAAAAACACAAATTCAAAGTCGATGTCGATTGACTTACCATGATGCAGTTGGGGCAAGTGGAAGTGCGAAATACCTGCCATCGCTGCAACCGATCTCGCATGGGGAGCAAGCCCAGCCCAACCTCCAGACAAAGTCTCTGAGATGCTCTGGGAAAACTGCGGCAGTTATTGGCTTCCAAGCGCGGTTCAATACAGATTGACGATGCTGCTGGGGCACCAAGGGCCGTAGAAGGGCGGCCATTGTGTCCCACTTTAGAATCGGCCACCTCTATCTCTGGGCACGTAGATCCAAACGTCGGTTGAAATGCCAGAAGGGCCGATGTAAAGATGGTAATTCAGTTGATTGGGACCTTGGTTTATTTGCCTATCCGGAAGAAGACACGTAGTGATGGCCCCAGATGGTAGCGAGCCAGTGTCTGAGCGGGCAATGTCATGATTGCTTAGTATTCGCAATAGAGTGCGGAGGCACAAGTAGAAGCCGCGACGGAAACGTGGGGAATGCAAAACCGCTTGATCTCGCGGTTGAGCTAACGCTGGACGCGATAACAATTCTGTGCAGCCAGACCAAAAAAATGAACTGAAGCTTTGCGCTTTGCACTTTCCGGCAGACGTGGAGCGGTGGTTTACAGAATGGCAAAGGTACCAAAATTTTCCTAGGTATACCGTTTGATTAAGTATCGGCGTTCCAAGAGGGGGAATGCGAAGTACCTGGCTGCTTTGATATCATTAGAAGAGTTTGTACAACGGATGACCAGATGCATCCTGTATACCAAATACAGTGAAAGTAACTCGAGTATTGAAATCTCGGAGACCACTGTAAAGGCGACGTGATGTGATACGACCGTTGGGGTTGCCAATGAAAAAAATACTGGCTTTTAGAAAAGTTTAACCTTGCACCGGAGATCATACCGAAATCAGGAATGCATCAAGAGCATGCTGCAGCGACTGTTCATTTTGTATATAGAGTGATATCATCTGCTTATGCAGCGACCTTTACTTGAGTGTTACCGGGTAGAGGTAAGCCACGAATCTGCGGGTGATGTTCAATGGCAGCCTAAGAGGGCTCTATTGCAATGATAAATAACACTGGGGAGAGGGGGCACCCTTGACGGACCCCACGCGTGACTCTAAATGCGGACTCTCAGGGAATCTAAGTAAAGGGTACTTTCTAATTAGTGTAAATCGCGTTGATAAGGTCAATGAACTTATCGGGATTCCGTTGCATGAAAACATTTAGTATGTAGCCATGTTCTATGAAATCAAAAAGCTTTCTCTTGATCTACTCGCCAGGATAGGAGTCGGGCCCCCTCGGTATCGGTACTCACCCGTTCGTACTCTGTGTTACGACCGGCCCTGGGGAGCCAAGCAGGAAGGTTGGGGTAGAACCGGTTCTTGACCTGACGGTGTCGTCCACCCCCACCTCCCCATTCGGGTTTCCTCCTCGCCGGAGAGCTCCGGGGTCTGCTGTGCGTTCGTGACCATGTTTGTAACATTTTAGGGCGCCGTGACCATATATGACCTCGTGTTGGGATGTGCCACTCCATTGTTGTGAGGTGTGTTTCCCCCTCTCTCGTGGCCGAGGGGCCGGAGAACACCGTATTGGCTGACGATGCGGACGGGCGCCCAGTGTCAACGGCGCGGCGCTATAAAATGCCGAAGACGTTTGTATCACACGCACTCTTCTCTCTTTGGGTCAGTTGACCACTTCTCCACATGTAAATAAATCTCTGTTGTTCGTTCGGGCGCTTCTTCTTCTCGCTGAATTGTTGGACGATGGATCCTGCGACGGGGCCAGCTACCGAAAACGAGACCGGCAGGACCCGAGTCACAACAACTGGATGGCAGCGGCGGGATGCTGATAACCCGAAAGCGACCACTGGACGGAGTGAGCCCGAAGTTCAACAACGGGACGACAGGAGAAGGATTACACGAGCTCATCGACTTCCAAAGGGAATCGAACGGCACTTCTGAGAGGCACGACGCCGGAGACATGACTGCGAACTGGGTGAGTGCCGGCTTTTTCTGTTAAATTTTACCAGGCATTTACTCTATGTGTTAAGTAAAAGCTGTAGAGAGGGGCTGTTTGGTCATTGTGTTAACAGGTAACTTGCGTTAGGCGGAAATTGTGTGATAGCTTGGTTAAGCTCTTTCTGTCAGTGGCGTCAAGGTTAACAGTGCAGGGCAGGATTCCGTATAAGAGCTTTTGAAGCTTTATTTGTAGACTAAGTTAACGGAAACTTGAGGCAAGGCAGGAACCTAGAGCTGTCGTTGCCGTCAAGGTTAATTAGTTGCAGGACAGGAATCTTTGTGGAACAGAGACAGCGGTACTGGAGGCAGCCTGAATCTGAAATCCCTGCGAAAGTCCATGTTGCTCTACTTGCAAGGGAGTTAATCTGGAGGTGTCCGGACTCTCAAAGAAAGCCAGAGCTGATAGAGGCGATTCTCGCATTGGGGGCGGAGGATGACGAGCT